AGTACTAAGTAGAAGAGGAAAACTAAGAGAATATACCTATTGCTTCATTAATCTAATGATGTGTTATGACTATTTCCTTGTGTTTCTCTTATTATAATATTGTTTTGTTATATGTGATGAAGTAGTAGTAGTAGTAGTAGTAGTAGTATTACTAGTAGTAGTATTAAAAGTAGAATACAACTACATCTACACATGTATACACATAAATAGTAGGTCACTATAAATGAAAATCGACACTATTTCTAAAATGTACATCTCTCTCTCTCTTTCTCCATATATACATAGGTGTTAATCAATTTCTTTGTATGGAAATGTCAGTACCAAAGCATCTGTCTAATAGGAACACCTGAACACATACTAATATGAATAATAATCATAATCTATCATAAATACATGTTGTGTATCCTTGATGAAAAATTTCAATAACATACATTGTTCAATAAGAAAGAAAACTTATATAGACATACACCTGTACACAGAATTTTATGTTACCCTATCAACACAATTATTATTCATAATAAAATATCAGGTTATATACATTTCTACCATACATAATAAAATGTAGTTAATAGACAAATATTTGTATGGGTAAATTAGATTGTTTTCATTGGAATATTTACAATAATAATATAGAAGGAAAAAAGAAACAAACATGATTAGGGAAATAAAAGAATCAGATTAAACATTAGCTACTACTACTACTACTACTATTTTGAAGGTGACCATATTCAGACGAAATTCTTTTTAAATTCATTTGGTGTTGTTTTACTTGTATCTTCCCATTGTTGTTTAGGATTGAAATTGATCAGTCTCTTATTGGTATATGTATATCCTGTACAGATTGCCTCGATTTATTCTTAAGTCGCAAGCTTTATAAGCAAATCTGAGATGCAGGTACATATAACTGACGAGTTCCAAATAGAACGAAACGCATGTCTTGGATTCCACTACTGTCCATCCTTGGTTATAAGGCTTATGACTTAAGGCAATATCGAGGCGATTTGCATAGAATGCACATATGCCAACAAGAGTGATCAATTGCAGTCCTAAATAACAATAGGAAGGTACAACATCAACATCAAGTGAATTTAATCTTCACCCCACCTGCACAAGCAGGTGGCTATCAGGACTCAGTAGCTAAGTGGATAATAAGATGGTGTTTGGAGCGAACGATACTGGTTTCTAGTCTTAGAGTGAACATTAACTCTGAGACGAAGGTACATCCAGCTGAAGAGTCCCAAATAAGACGAGATGCGCGTTCTGGATTCCACTGCTAGCCAAAATCCATCTTTGAAATTTTTTTAGTTTTTATTCTGACTAGAAGTTAAACTTGTAAATTATTGGATATTAGCTCAATGGTTTAAAGTTTTAAGACAGCATAATGATATCTGAAAGAACTGAGTTCGATCCTTGGTCGGGTGGTGAAATCTTATTGTTGTAGAATGACACAACTGGATGAAATTGATGTCCGATTGTGTCTGAATATTCAGTGATTACATGATTAGCGTCAGTACGCAATGTGAACTATGTGAAGTGAATAAATGCATGGTGCTTGGTCTTTCTAATTTTCTTGTAAAATCAAGAGGTAAATCCTGGAGTTCTAGTGAGAAGCCGTTACCAGCACAGTTCAACTAGGTCACTTGTGAAATAGTAATTCACTGATGACAGTGGTGGATTTGTTGCTCAATTTCGTGGATTAGTTGAAGTTAGACATCAACATCGTTGGATGCCGAACGGCTCAGTGGTCTAGTTGGCTAGGCGCCTGCCGCGAGACTGATAGATCCCGGGTTCGAATCCCGCGAGGCGAGGTCGTGGATGCGCACTGTTGAGGAGTCCAGTAATAGGGCCAAACGGCCGTCCAGTGCTTCCGGGTTTCCCATGGTGGTCTAGCTTCAAATGACTCATGATCTCAACTGTTGCAATAAACATTAAATTATTATTCTTATAAATGGTTATAGGTACTCTAAATTCAGTTTATATACAGAAAATCTAGGGTACTTAAAGTATATCGGACAGTCTTTGGCTTTTGGAACGTTCTGGAACTCTTCTAAAGATAGTAGCAGGATAGGTAACCATTTAACGAGAAATGTAACGCATGACTCTTCACTTTCTCGATGCTTCTGAGTAACTTTCATTCAATACTGACTGGATAAAATGCTTCCCAGTGTTTTTAGGATCCTTTTGAGTTTTTTTCCGAGGAATTTTCTGGGTCTCCTAAACAGCATGATCTCGTTGTTGATGCAAAAATCTTCAATTGGTTATTCTCTATTGGAATATATTTATTCGGAGCGGACTCCCACTATATTATCATTTAGTCATAAGTTTTTTTAAAAAAGAATTAAATTTATATAGTTGTTCATTGTGACATTTATCACAGGCTTTCCTTCCTATTTGCAACTGGCTTGTTGAATGTACCTTTATCTATGCTAATATTCGCATTAAGATTTGAATCTATTATCTTTCACTTCAAATACCAACGCATTATTAACTAAACTACTATGTCCTATTAGCCATTAGCAATTACATCCGACTGGCGCATTCAAATTAGAATAAACACATGTCCAATATTCTTACGTTATTTATTATTCCATTTTAAGTAAATACTAAACGATGTAAAGATTAACTTGATAAATATGTTGAATATTATTGGTCGATATGAACCGGATTCCTGATCTAAGTCATGGTTTTTTGTTGTTGTTTTGACAATCATGTTAACCAGGATAGAGACAACCTGAATGAAATTGGTCCAACTAAAATACCCGTTAAACAATTGAAAAGACAAAACAACAACAACAACAACAGCAGCTGTGTTTTATACTCACATTATACAATGAAATACCTAATAAGTCAATTAAAGTCTTAACCTTTTGATGAATTAACCCATTAATCATTTAGATCGTTTTCATTCAAAATTCAATTTGAAGGCGTTCATTTTCTTGAAGTTAATATAAAGTACTATTAAAGTAAACTACACAACAACAACAAAAAATGGAAAAGTTTTCTAAGGTAATATGGATACTAAGCAAAGCCGAAGAATGAGGATGAACATAAGTAATTCTATTTGAAGTTTGTGCTGATGATGTCGTCCAGATGAATGATGAAAGTTCCACGACTAAACCATCCAGCTCAGAGAACAAAACTTCACTAAAATCATTCATCTAAGCTACAGATCTTCTTCACCATCTCAAAAGCATATAAGCGTAGGGAGCTTAAATAATTCATTAAATAACCTTGATACACTTAACCTATTCAACCACTCAGAATGCACTAATTATTAATGAGTAATTAATAATATGATTTGATATTATGGTTTCAGATTAGAAACTAAGTTTAGAAATAAGTGTAAAGCTTAATATCAAAATATTTTCAGAAAGGTTTTTCTGGAGATTTGAGAAATTTCACTGGTTGAAATCATGAGTCAATTGAAGCTAGACCACCATGGAAAACTTGGAAGCGGTGGACGGCCGTTTCGTCCCAGTATGGGACTCCTCAGCAGTGCGCATCCACGATCCCACACCCCGCGAGATTCGAACCCAGGACCTATCGGCCTCGCGCCAGGCGCTTAACCAACTAGACCACTGAGCCGTTCGGCATCCAACGGTGTTATTGTCTAACTTCAACTAATCCATGAAATTGAGAAACACATCCATCATTGTCATCAGTGAGTTGCTATCTCACAAGTGACCTAGTTGAACTGGGCTGGTAACGGCTTGTCACTAGAACTCCAGGAAATCCCTCTTGAAGCTGAAGAGTCACACAATAGGACGAAACGACCGTTTAGTGCTTCCAGGGTTTCTATGATGGTTTAGCTTCAATTGGCTCATGATCTCAATGATTGAAAATAACTAGTTGAAGATAATATTGTCGATTATATTTCTAATTTTGAAAAATTCCCATATTGTAATTTAGAACAAAGTATATAAAGCGATCATTATTGTTTTTGATTAGATCATCATCATCATCATTATCAACAACAACAGCAACAACAACAACAACAACAACGGGTTTTACTCTAATATACAGTAATACTTATATGCATATACGAAATTATTAAACTCATCAAGGCAGTTTATGAGTCAGTGATAACAGTAGAATAAATTGACTGGTTTAATAATTTCGTATATACATATGAATATTACTGTATATTATAGCACAGCCTAATGAGGATTTAATGGAAAACAAAACTATTCGCTTTATATATTTTGTTCTAGATTATATTTCAGTCTCAATAACGTTGATATTATTCAGATAAGTTTGTTTACTAGTAAAATACACTCAACTAACTATTTTTGCGCAGCTAAATAGTTCCAACCTATATATATATATATATATATATATATATATATATATATATATATATATATATATATATATATTGAGAATCCCTGGACCTAGGTTTCGTGCTGCTTGGCACTCGACAGCAAGGTGTACCTGTGATCTTGAGGGAACTGGTACTCCATGACGGATTCGCTCCCGTGTCACCCAGCTTCACAGTCAGAGACGTTACCACCGAGCTATACGGGCCGCGACCGACCTCCTGTAGAACTGAAACGTAATCACAATTGATTGATTATTGGGTGGTGATCATGTTTTCTTTGATTTAATTCTTGAAATACACATAAATTAATAAGTTTAGTTAGTTGAAATTATTACCAACATAAACCATTTGGAAGGATTTAAATCTTTTATATTCTTAATGATAACAAATGAAATTAATCAGTTAATTTTGGTATATATGGATGCTGAGTTGATTGTCTGAACTTAGTAACTAAATCGATAACATTTAGGATGTTTAAATTGTAAGCTACTTAATTGTAGCCTTGATATAAACAACATCAATAATGTAATGAAAGATAAACTGTATGTATAACCTAAAAAACTTATTCACTATTCATAGATAAATTCACTTTTCAAATTTCAAATTGTGTTTCATTATTATTTTTCATTTTAATATAAAATCTAAATTATTTAGATAAAATATTGTAAGCTCAAATACATACCTTGTTCAGTATGATGATGATGACGATAATGTTGGTGAACATTGTCATTATCATCATCATTATCATCAGCAGCAACAGCAGTAGAAAATACATCTTCACTGATCAATTTCGGTTTCAACATACAAGTTGGATAATGTTCAGTTGTTTCTGTGATATATTCATTTGAATGTTGATTATCATTATTACTACTATTATTATTAGTAGTAGTAGTAGGGAATAACATTTATTTAATCCCCCTTGTTTACAATCAATACAGATTAAATCTTCATTTGTTGTATTATTATTATTATTACCATTGTTACTATGTTGACTATAAATAGTATTATCTTTGAAATGTAGTTTTTTTAATGTAAAAAAGATTTTCTATGTTTTGATTTATTATAAATCATTAATATAATTGATGTCATTAATAATCCAATTAAAAAGATAGTTGAACTTCCAAGTGTAATACTAAGCATAGTTTTAATTGTAAATGTACTATTCATATTATTATGAGTATTAGTTAATACATTTAAATTTGATATACCATTAGAATTTATTCTCCATTTTTGTTTAAATTGTTGATTATATTCTATGGATGATTTCATTTTTATTGGTATATCATCTAATTGAATCAATAAACGTTCAATTGTTGAATGTTTATTGATTTTTGGACCTTGATCATCAATAATTATTAATAATGTAATAATTTTACCACAATAATCAATTAATTGATTAGTATTAACAAATAATTCACCAGAATTATTATCTAAATAAAATAATGATTGTTTTATATGTGAAGTTGTTATCATTAAATTATATAGAATTGTACCATTTATACCTAAATCTGGATCATAACCTTTAATATGACCAATTGAATTACCAAACATTTCATGACATGATACAATTAATCGATTACCAGCTATTGTTGTTATATTAGGAAATAGAAATATTGGTTTATTATCATTGATATCATTAATATGTATAAAGATTTCTGTTTGACTTATTAAATTATATTGTGTATGGTATTATTATTATTATTATTATATAATTCATAATGTATATCTTGTACTTGTATATAAAAATGATAATTTGCACATTCTTCTCTATCTAATACATTTTGTAAATATAATTCATTCTCTTTTAATAGAAAATATTTTTGAATTAAATTTTTATGATCATTTATTGATTGATCAAATTGTGAAATATTTAAATGTTCAATATTATTTGATTGTTTTAATGAATTATTATTTTGTTGTTTTTTTGAAATAATTTGTGGCGGTTTATTTGATGAATCAAATAGCATATTAAATTTAAAACCTTTATTATTTGAATCTAAATCAGATACAATAAATATAATAATTGGTTTAGTATATAATTTATTTTCATCTAAATGTATAATATAATGATTATGCTCAAATTGTGGTGGATTATCATTGATATCATCTAAATCAATTAAAATTTTTGTACAAGTTAAATGTAATTGATCATGAACACATAGAGATAATTTTAATGATGATTTTTTTTCACGATCTAATTCACCTTTTGTAAATATTTGACCATTGATTGGATTGATTGAAAATAATTGATAATCTAATAATGATGATGATGATGATTGTATGAAATCATTATCTTTATTATGATGATGATGATTTGATTGATTATTTAATATATCGATTGATTCTAAATGATAAATCAATGTACTATTCAAATCAGGATCTATAGCTAAATTCATGATTGGATATCGATTATTAATTGGTTGAACTGGTGTACCAGGATAACTATTTTCTAATACATGATAATGATAAATATTTAATGGGAAACTAGGTGGTGTATCATTTACATCAATTAAATGAATAATTAAAGTTTTTATATTATATAACATTGGTTCACCCATATCATTACATTTGATGATAATAGTATATTGATCCATAGATTCACGATCTAATAATGATTTAGTTTCAATTCTATATAAATCAGATAATTGATGTATATGAAATATTTCTGTAAAATTTAATAATTGACATGATATACGACTATTTTGTCCGGTATCATAATCAATGACATTAAAAAATACAATCGGTGTATATTTAGGTATATTTTCTTTAATCCATATTTCATATGGTTTATTCATTGTAATTAAGGCATGATTTGAATTGGTTATATTCTTATATTTATTTTCTAGTATATGATCATTTTCAAATAAGATAATTGGTGAATTATCATTGACATCAAGAACAATGATATCAATTAAAGCTGTAGAAGAATAAATGATTTGTGATGATTTCTTCATTGTTGATGTTATTGGACGGTATAATGATTTCGAAGTATCTATTTCTTTCTCTTTTATTGGACCAGTCTTTTGCTATGATAGTTAAACGATAATTTTTAACCTTTTCATAATCTAATGATTGTTTTAAAGTTAAAATACCAGATTGTGAATCTAAATGAAACATATGTGTTACATCCCAATTCAATTGATTTGAACTAAAATGATATGTAATTTGATTAATTGTTTCATTAGACATTAATAAATCATAATCAATCGCTTTTAATTGTCCAATATGACTACCTATATCTAATGATTCTTTTATTTTATATTGTTTTTTTATAAATTTCTTGATTAGTATATAATGAATATAGATGTGGATCTTTCAATTTATTAACATCATTTGAATCGATAAAAATTGGTGGAAATTCATTGACATCATCTACTTCAATAATTAATTGTATGGATCCACGTAAATCTCCACCATCTTGAGCAATTAAACGTAGTTTATAAATGAATTGTTTTTCACGATCTAATTCTTCATCAAGTTGAATGACTAAATTTTCTATCGACTTTGTATAGATTAGTCGAAATGGTCCAAGTTTCGACCATATTTGATCATTTGTATATGTCATTGTGGATAAAGATGAAGATTGATGTGAATTATGAATTATTTCATCCCATTCAATCCAATAATTTTTGACACGATTTATTGGTGAAACATCTGCATCAAATGCTCTTGGTAAATCATGTTTTGTATGAACACCTAATGAACCTTCTAAAAATGATAAATATATTAAATTTGATTGTGAATTCATTGAATCATCTGAAACTATATTAAATTGTGGTGGATTATCATTTAAATCAATAATATTGATATGTAATTTACTAATTGGTGAAATTTGCATATCATGATCTGTTGAAGCTAATATAAACGTTGTTAATTTACATTGATATTTTTGTTTTAATACATGATTATCAATGATATGATTCAAATCATTAAATAATTCTTCTGTATCATCATCATTATCATTTAATTGATTGATAGAATATTGATTATTATTGAATTCATTAGATAATTGTTCATATTGATAATTATGACAACATGATTTTTCTATATTACATAAATTACTTGTTTCTAAATCAATAGATGATATACTATATATATTACCAGTGATATTATCTAAACGAAAAAATTGGGTTAATGAACTTGGACTTAATTGAATATAATTTGATTTAGATATACCAAGTAATGAACGTATATCTTTTATAATAACTTGACCAATGGTTAAATTTTCATAAATTTTAATTTCTGGTAAATCATTGAAATATTGAAAACAATGATAAAATGTAAAAAGATAAATAATCCAATAGAATAAATAGATTAGATAGAAAATTATTTGTTTAGATGTAAATGTAATAAGATTCATGAGTAATTTTGAAGAAAAGAAACTATCTATTTATGGTATAATGAATAGATGAAATGAATAATAATAATAGTATATTTAAGTAGTAATATACTACTCATTTTGTAGAAATGCAAATTGCAGTTTCTTTTTTATTTGTTTGTTTATTTATTGTAAGAAAACAATATTTTATTGGTTATATTTATATGAATAGTAGTATGAATAATAAAATGTATTAATAATCAATCAGCTGATGATTATCATCACGTAAATACAAACATACAGTCTCGTTGTGTTGTTCGTTTTATTAACCAATCAATGAATGAATTTTTTTCTTATTAAATTACCAATCATATTGCAGATCATCGTATTTTATTTCAACCAATCAAAATTCAAATAAAGGTAAGGACTAGTAAAGTAAGGATAATATTTCTACGGTTGAAGAATATATGGGACTCAAAATAATTAATAAAGTTAGGATCTTCAATATGAATGTCAATATAGTTCTATTGTATGGAGCTGAAACTTGGAGAGCTACTACAATCATCAACAAAAACGTACAAGTATTTATAAACCATTCTCTACACAAGATACTTAATATCCATTGACCGGATACTAACAGTAACAGCCTTCTGTGGGAAAGGACAGATCAGATCCAAACTGAAGAGGAAATTAGGAAAAAATACTGAAGTTGGCGGATAGGACACATAATGAGGAAATCATCAAACTGCATCACGAGGCATACGCTAGTTTGGAATCATGAAGGGAAACAGAAAAGAGGAAGGTCGAAAAATACGTTATGTCGGGCATTGGAAGTAGACATGAAAGAATGGACAGCAACGGTGAAGAACTGGAAAGGATTGCACAGGACAGGGTTGGATGGAGAATGCTTGTAAGAGGCCTACGCTACTCCATGAGGAGTAATAGTAAATAAGTAGTAATAATCTTATAAATTCATGTAGAATATTGAACACAGAGTTGTGTATACACATATATACATACATACAAAGTGCAGATGTAGTGCATTTAGGAAGAATGAGTGGTGATACACAAATTCTTTCCGATTTTTTTTACTTTTTTCATAACTACTATCAATTTGAAATGATGTTTTGAATTTTCCGCTAACAGTTTCGAATGGCGCCATAAATAAATGTTTATGCATTTGTTGATAGGTTTTATATATTGGATTAATATATAAAAACCTAGTCTGTTAAATTATACACTTGTCAAATTGATTATGATTTTGCATATTGTTATTTCCTAGATGTTATTATTATTTTATAGTTTCAAATAGAAATCATTTATTGACAAGAGAATAACATAAAACAATCTACCTTGATTGTGTTAAACACAATTAATTGCAATTCCATTCAAAAGTCAATTGTAAATAAAACAATAACCAGTCGTCTATTTACGTTAAAAACGAAACGAAAATAAATCAGAGTTGTAAAATGTATGAGTTAGATAATTGTAGTAAAATTAACATTTTTGTAACTGATTCAGATTTTTAAAAATCCCAATAAATGAGCACAATTTTAGAATCCATACAAAGATCTCAATAATCAAAGAACTAGATCTAGTGAAGATTTCAAGTAAATAATATTGTATCAGAAGGGGTTTTGTGGAGATTGTAGTAATTTCCAGAGTTGAGATCATGAGTCATTTGAAGCTAGACCACCATGGAAAACCTGGAAGCACTGGACGGCCGTTTCGTCCTATTGTGGGACTCCTCAGTAGTGCACATCCACGACCGCGCCTCGCGGGATTCAAACCCGGGACTTGTCAGTCTCGCTTCAGGGGCTTAACCAACTAGACCACTGAGTCGGCATCCAACGGTGCTTGGTACCTGTGTGGTTGTGCCACAGGATTGAGCTGTACTATTCAGATTGAAACGTTAAAGCCTATACGGTGTCTGGTTCTCCCGTGAAGCGGGATTGAGCTGTACTGCTTGGTTTATAAAATTCAAGCCTGGGTGGTGTCTGGCTCTCCTGTTAAGAGGGGTTGAGTTGTACTGTTTAGGTTGTCACGTGAAAGTCCGGATGGTGTCTGGTTCTCTGAAAACCAATATTACATTACCCTGGCCCACAAGGGTATATTACATAACTGTGAAATAATATTATCGACGAGATCAAATGCCTCAATAGCTATCGTCATCTTAGGTATTGATATATAATGCTGCTGCAGCTAATTTTATCTAGATAAACACATCCCAAACGTTCTTGTTCTATTTTTAAAGAAATCCAAACGAATTTGATTAATGGCTTCATGAAATAAAACTGTTAAATCTTTGTATTAGATCATCTCCAAAAATCTTATTTTTAAAAACAAATTTACGATAAGATTATAAAAGAATGCCTAAAATGGATTTGCCTAACAAATGCCCGCCTCATATAAAAAGAAATGACGAATGGCAAACATTTTATGTTTACCTCGATCATAAAACTTGTCAATAAATCATAATTTGATCAACAAATCTACGACCCAAGTGCTCTTGTTCATTTGAAACGGATTATGACGTGGATTTAAACCACTGAGTTTAGTGGATAGTTTGGAATTAATTCATCTAATAATTAGCTCATTAGGTTGGTACAATTTCCATAATTCCTTAAAAATATAACTTTAAGTAAATGTTTTGTTAAGAGCATTTATACTATTTCTTCTTATCTTAAATGAAGCATCAGATTTCTACGGAAAAAGTACGAAAAATGTACAAACAATTTTTCCAAATGTATTTTTATAATTTCACCATATTATGAATATGGAGTTCATAGAAATTGTTGAATTCTATAGTTTACACTAAAAATTAATCTTAGTTAAACATTTGTTGAAAAACTGATAGTATTAGATAAATATTTCATCCTAGGAATGAAACGATCACTAGTACGCATTCACAACTCTATCAAAAGTCCAGCTTCATGTTTTTAGACCTAGTGATAAGAACTTAATCTTTAGAATATTGATTCATCATCAAATAGTTTTACACCTTTAATCACAATTGATTGACCACTGAGTGATGATCAATATCATGTGTGTCAAGTGCTTTTTAGTGCAAATCGAATGCTATCGACTAAGTTGCGATTTGGCCACTGGTTTAGGTGATTCAACATTGCATGCACTATGTTGGTATGGAATGGTGGTTGAAGGTAGTCAACAGGAAACCCTGTACCCGAGTTTCGTGCTATTTATCATTTGTCAACAAGGTTTACCTGTAATCTTGAGGGAACTGGTGCTCGCTGACGGTTTACACTTCTAACTTTAATCAATTTACGGACGACCTATGAACGAATCTTAAGTGACCTTGAGAAATATTAGCCAAGCAGCACACAGTCAGTATAGAGTAAAAATATATTATACAAAATCAAGGAAATAAGGTGGATACACTTCTTATACGTGATTCAAAAACTTGTGAAGGTTAGAAAGAGGTTCAGAGGTTCTAAAATCGTAATGCATGCAGTAGAGGAAATCATCCATACGGTTACAGAATAGTCGGCCTCTGGAGCCATGATAAAGTCTCAAAAACTCTTTCAGCCTTGACCACATAGCTTCAATATTGTTTGTGCGCACTCCGGTTGTCGAGTGCACAAAGTGCTACTTATGGATAACGACACGATGCACATAACCAAGCCTATTAAGGAGTCTGTACGCTCTCCAAACATCCGTATATATTGTAGTGCCTGGCTACAGCCAGTGTTACTGGTGGTTTTATTATCCAGTCCGCAATAATTGTCATAATTTGCCTTAGTTAGGAATCATATATGGGGTTTCATCACGAACTGACATCAGCTATAATGCCAGAAATTTATTTAGCTAAATGCATGAAAAACTTTCACGGTAAAATCCGAGATCTATTATCTCATACCTGATTGATTCGTCCACAAAATATAGTCTCACCGTTATATTTGTGATAGCAGCTCAATTATCACTTTTTGTACAAAATCCCCTGTGAACCGATCGTACGTTAGCATTAAGCACTGAAGTTGGCGCCGTAACCTTGAAATCTCTAAAACGTTTCTGATTGACTGCTACACTCACAACATCGACAAATTTTATTGGTCATAGATTCTCAGTAAAACGTCAGGCAATATAGTTCCTAGTGATCACATAGTTATTATCTCTATTGATGCGTTTGACATGATTGTTATTTCATAGTGTACATCATGTAACAACTGTGTAGTGCTTCCCAAGTTTTAATGTTTGCCTAACGAAGATGATGTAAACTGTGAAATTTGACCTGATACTTTTTTTTAGATGTAATTAAAATTTCTTTTCGTTTCTCTTCTCATTTCAGCTTGATTAAATATTTTATTATCACACTTTTCAATTAATATTATCATAGTCCTACTCCTCCTCCTCCTCCTCCTCCTACTACTACTACTACTACTACTACTACTACTACTACTACTACTACTAATAATAATAATAATAATAATAATAATAATAATAATAAGTGAAACTATTTCTCACTATCACTGTTTAGGGAATTAATCAAAACAAAAAACAATTTTATGCATTAACTATTTTGATAAAAATTCCAACTTGACAAGTAATCGAAGAGAGGGAGGGAGAGAGGGTAGGAGGAGGAGGAACTCAAAATCAAATAAGCATACAAGTAGAAACAAACTATTGAAATTTGTGTTGTACAACAATGATGAGCAACTCACATTATTTTGACACTGTTTTTTTTTTCTGCGATTTTAAAGTAAATACACTTTTTCTATTATTATGAAACTTAATTTCATTTGAATGAGAATAATCGCAAGGTAGGGTCTTAGTGATTATCCAGCTGAAATATCTATTGCATGAATAATCTTAATAAATAAACAATTAAATGGTTACTATGGTGAGATTAGTGAAGTATTGGTTGAGGTTATTCATAATATTTTCAAAATTGAGGTACTCAATAACTTCATCCATTTCTCCGTTCATTAGGTAGATAGATGCCGCACACTGGGATGTAATTTAAACATTTCATTTAAAGCTATCTCATTCACTGTTTGTATTATTTCTATCAGATATTTTGTCTG